AATGGACAAGTAGCCAGGAAACTTTCTGGGGCACACACCTCCAGGTATGCAAACACAAATGTAACCACACCAGAAATTCTTGCTGTAATCAGGGTCAGGAACCTATTTGTCACCTCACCACCACAGCTAAATCTCTGAACTTCCTTTCTTATTCCATTTTATCAGTCCAGAAACAGATTAGTCAACTATGCAGCGAAAAAAAGAAAAAGAACTTGCAGCAGCCAAGGCCCACAGATGCGCGTTAAAATTAGTGGGAGAAACTTGATAGAAACACAGGATATTGCATAGCCACAAAGTACCTCTCCCCAAACACTTACTAATTACTGTCATGGTTTGAACACATGCCCACAATTCCTTGACATGCCTCCCTCCAATTTAATTTAATTTATTCTCCCTTTTAGTGTGGCTGGACTTAATGATGGTTTTCTAATAAATAGTGTAGGGAAAGGGGGAAATTGTGACTCACATTAGGGACAGCCCTTTAACCAAGTGATCCAGGCTAATAGCACCAGGAAGAAGGTGTGTCATATTGCATCAGCCCTTCAGGGTGGCGTTTTCTTTCCCTGAATCCATACCCCAGTCTGCTCACGGCTGGACATCAGACCAACACAGACTGAGGGACAGCCTAGAAAGCACTTGAGAATCAGCCAGAGATGGGAGGAGACTAAGGTGTGAGGACTGAGTGCCACATGAGATCCTGGAACAGAAAAGGATGTTGGTGGAGAAACTGGTAAGAACCGGTGTGTAGTTCAGTTAAAAGTGTTTGCCTGTTGTGTCTGCGCAGCAAGGGCAGTGGGGAGCGAGAGGGGCAGCGCAGGGTTAAAGAATCATGAGAGGGCTGGGCAAGTGGCGTGTTGGTTAAGAGCTGGCTTGGGACGCCAGAGGGCCAGTGACACTGCCCTCTACAGCTAAGATGCTGAACAACAGCTCAATTTGGAGCTGGGCTGCTGTGAGTCGCTGGCGACAGTGTAGGCTGCAGCCCCTGCTGCAGTGGGTTGCCATGGGCTACCGTGTGTAGCCAGCAGCCGCCAGAAGTGGCCATCCAGAAGCCAGCGACTGATCTGCCTCATCTGGGAAGAGCACAATGATGGTGCCAACTTGGGCCAGTGAAGCAACGTCCTCCACAACTAGACTGAAGAACAAAAGGACAGCAAATTGTGTGTTCTCCTCCCCCCAATTCTCCAACGCTGTTCCCATCCCCCAATTCCCCAATAAAAATCTTAAAAAAAAAAAAAAAGAATCACGAGAGTCAGGTATAGTTAAGGCGGGGCCGGGGGGCTGCAGCCTCTCTAGGACTGAGCCCTGAATCGGGCCAATGCGTAGCTTTTATTAAGAAACTTCAAAGACGTGAAACTTGTTTTTTCTAAAGTCCTTGTGATAAGTGCCTTATGGCTGCTTTCCATCAATCAGCCCCATTGTATTCCAATACCTGCTGTGCCTTTATACTCCCACACACACAACCCCCAGGATGGTGCAGCTGCACCGTGACCATGAAAATAAGGGAGATAACCAACATCATTCCGTCCGGTCTCAGTGTTCCAAGACACTCCCTTGAGGAAAGTGTTCCAAGACACTCCCTTGAGGAAAGCTTTACCGATATCTTTCCACCAGGTCTCAGCATTCTGAGACACTTCCTCATGACCTCATTAGGTCAGGGGTTGTTATGGAGGTGGGGGGGGGGCGGTCGAGGACGTAGTTGTAAGACAACATTTGCCAATGTTGACTTCTTAGCTTTGATAAAATGTACCGTTAGTAAGGGGTTAACATCAGGGAAAGCTGAGGGGAGGCTACACAGGAACCCTCTGTACCATTTTAGTAGCTCTCCTGCCAATTTAAAATATTTTGAAATAAAAAGATTATAAAAGAAAACAGAAAAAAAGCACCATAAACTAGAACCCATCTCTACTCACACATATGGAATTTCTGCTGTTTAAGTGATGGGGAGTGTTACTTTTACATTCAGCAAAGTCATGGTCTGAAGTTGAGTTCAGACCTATAAGGTTTGGAGCCAGTTCCTTAGCAGCCAGGCCAGGACACATGGAGATCCACAGCGGCTCCCCTGAGGCACTGCCAGGTCTGCAGGGGGTGTGGAAAATACAACTTGAGGGGACACTGGGCAGAGCCCAAGATTCAGCAGGTGCAGGCCCTAAGGAATCCTGTGCTGAGAGGTTCAAGGAGAAGAAAGGAAGTCATGGGGGGAGGGTAGGTGAGTGTGGGGCAGGTCCAGAGCAAGCTTGGAAGAAAGGGCTAGGAGATGGGTAGGTGGGTAGGAAGCCATCAGGCTGCATTCAGATCCTTCACGTGTGTTAAGCAGGTTTCATTTTCCAAAGGCTCACTTTAACCATGGTATGAAGGCAAACAAAATACCAGCAAGAACAAAAGCGACATCTGAGCCAAGATTTTGTCTCTACTGCCTGCCTGCTCAGAACAGTGCCTGGTACAAAGCAGGCGATCAGAAATTATTTGCTGAATGAATGAATAAGGAATTTGTAGGACGACTGGTGAAGGGCAGTGTTAGTGTGGGAGTGCAGGTAGGAGGTCGGTGAGGGAAGGAGGCGCAGGACTCAGGGGACACAGGTTAACTGAATGAGGGAAGCAGGCTTCCAGCCTCAGCAATGCCTCTTCTTCCAGAAGCAGCTCCCCGTGCCCCTTTTCCTCCCCCTGTCCCCAAACCTGCTCCCGCTCTTTCTCTCTCCTCTGCACCCGTCATTAAAGAGTGGAAACTTGCAATTTCCCTGACTCATTTGTTCCTGAAGCAAGACACAGCCCTCTAGAAGTTCTTGGAGAATATTTTTATTGTCGGTAGAAATGGGAAGTATGGCTTTCTATGTCTTCGTGTGTTTCAACCGATCCTCCAACACTTTTCTGGGCTGACATATTCAAAAGGCTGTGGTCAGATTCCTCTCCACTGTAGCAGAAAGCAATACTGTCTCACACTTTCAGTAATGACACTAATACCACCTGTCACTGTATGTCAGCCATTGTCCTCTTCTTAAAAATGATTATAAAAGTAGTGCATGCTTTTGTAGCGCTGTGGAAAATACAAAAGCAATCACTGATGCTAACATTTTGTTTCCAACTTTCCCCCATGCACCTTTATATAAAAAAAATAAAATGTGGCGTTTGTTTATATTTAATTACTTATCGAGTTGGTTGTAACTTCCGCTTCTCACTGTGTGTTTTCTGTTTCCAACCCTTTTTTGTTGCTCTTTTCCTCTCCTTTCCCATCTTGCATTGGACTGAAGAAGTTTTCTCTGTTTTCTTGACTGTTACATGGTTTCCATAACCCCTAATGGTTTCATAGCTGCCTCTAGTCGCCCTTATTCCTCTCCAGCCCTCAGTTCAAAACTAGAACTTAAAATGGTCTTTTGAGCTTCCTGGATGGTGGGAACAATGGGGACACCATAGATCAAGTGACCAGGCTAGCTAGCCCCTTAGTTCGCTTTCAGGTCAGGGAGCTCCAGTATGTCTCTGTTAAAAGCCATGATCCTGGGGGTTGAGCAACACAACTTTTTTCTGCTTTATGTTGGGGGCTGGGGAAGATGGAGGTTGGGGATGGAGATCTGAGTCTGAGTTTGTCTGCTGCTTTTCTATTTTTAGATTTACATCTACTATTGCTATGTTTTTTGGAGCAGAGTGGGTGCATCAAAGTTGATCTGAAGTCCTAAATAGCTTCCTTGTCACCTTCTCCACAGCCACACTCCAGTTCAGGCCACCATCACAATAAATACCTGCTGTGTAAGCCATTCAATTTGTAGTACTTTGTTATGGCAGCCCTAGAAAACCAATGGATGTGTTATAATCAAAATGGCATAACAGAAAGAAATCATTGCCGGAGATCAAGAAAGCCTTCTGGAAGACATGGCATTGCGCTGATCTTTAGAGATGGCAGGAAAGAGAAAGGTTTTAAGTTACCATCTTCTTTGGTGTCAATCTAAATTCCATCTGGAAGCCTAACCCTTATGCAGGCTCTCTGGAAAACAAGCTGAATTTGATCCACTTTAATGACTTGAACCTACTGTCAACTGTGCCACTAACATGAATTATAAAATTTAGGAGAACAAAGTATTTTACACACCCTTTAGTGTTTCTAGCAAGAGTGTGCAGTGGTTCAGTATTATTTGCTTTTACGGCCTTTATATTCCTTTATAAAAAGGGAGGGGTGCTTCATGGAGGCCTTAGTGAGAAACAGCTAATTAAAATCTTAGTTTAACCAGAAAAAGCATGACAGTATCAGGAAGTGCGGTTTGGCTGTACTTGCATTATTATGTCTTCACAGTGCTGGTTCTGGGTTCTATTATGATTACAAGCGTTGTTTAGCAACATTCTCCAGTTGTAAATAAATTCTCGAAATTTCAGTAGTCATTTTGGAGAAAGGGAGAGAGCCTTTGCTTCCCTTGTCACAACTCAACCTTCAGTTGGGGTTTCAAGTCAAACTGACATACTCTACGCGGCTTCCATCCTAAATCACAGGCATCCACCGGTTCCATCTTCGAAAAACGGAGGGGTTCGGCCTGAAACGTGGAGCAAATTATTTCAAAGCACAAGGTTCTTAAGGAGAGGTGCACATCCGCCTCACTGGAGGGCCTGACAACAATGTACAAACTCCCTGGCCCGCAGCCGGTGGGGCACGGTCCTGCCCTATTTGGAAATGGGCCACAGGAAAGCACGATGTGTTTACAGACAGGGCCCACGACTCAGCGCAACCATCCAGCAAGTGCTTTTCGCCTCAGCTGCCCCGCCAGGCACAGACCCCCACCGCACCCCCAAACTCCTTCCACAGCCTCCTCCCCTCCCTCCGGCCGCCCCGCTCCCTAGGCTGTCCCACCCGAGCGGCGGCTGGGACCCCAGCACGAGCCCACCTACTCTGGTCGCGGAAGCCCCGCCCCCGGCGCGGCGCAGGGGCTGACTGCTCGGAGGGCGGGTCACGGCCGCCACATCGCGACGCAGTGGGGAACATGCCTGGGGGCGGGGCCTCCGGGTTGGGGCGGGGCTGCGGCGGGCGGGCCTTGGGGGCAGGGCCGCGGGCGAGCCGCAGCTGGAGCGCCGGCGTCGCAGCTGGGGTCTCGCGCTCCTCACGGCTGCTGTGCTGCAGCCGCCGGCGGAACATGGCGCCGGGGCGGTTCTGGCGCTGCTGCCAGCGCGGCGTGGGCTGGGTGCCCGTGCTGTTCATCGCCTTCGTGGTGGCCTGGTCCTACTACGCGTACGTGGTGGAGCTGTGCGTGTGTGAGTACTGGGCGGGCGACGGGCGGGCCTGGGCGGCGGCCGCGGCAGTGTACGGCCCTCAGGCAGCGCCTCGGCCTGGGGTGAGGGGAGCGGGCGAGCTTTGCGGAAGTGTTTGGCCGTCTTTGCGTTTGTAATGTTTATGATAAAGAATCCGGGCCTCCTGGTGGTGGTGGTGGTGTAGTCGGCGCGAGAAGAGCGAGTTAACGCGGAGCGGGCGGCCAGGCGGGTGATCTTCCTACCCGGCTGAGAGCGGGTGCCGCCGAGGCGATGAGCACCCGTCTCTGGCGCGGTGGTATCCGGCCCAGTGGGAAGTTCCTTATTTCAAGCCTGAATCAGTAACTCGCAGAAAATGCTGTTTTCAGACAAAGAAGGAGTCGCTCCTTTTCGTAGCCCTTTGTTATGGAGGTTTCCACTTTTCTCATCCTCAGATGTCCTGGTCTCGCTTTCCAATTGCCATTTCTTTCGGTAGTTCTTATACCCGATTTCTCACCCGATTCCCTGGGGAAAAAGGAGGACCATCCCAGCACACTTCAAGGATTTACGATACTAGTTTGAATAGGTTGTCGTTCAGGTGGAAGGAAATTGGTTGTCGATCAAAAAGGGCTCCTCCTCTGCGACATTGATTGACTGCTCTGTCTTGAGTTAATTGTTCATAGGCTTTGACTGTGCAACTACTTCTGGCCGCCTTTGGGTGGTTCTGTGTCTGTCTGCTCCTTGTGTCCTCTCTTCGAGAAAACTTAGGACCACGGGATAAGTGGTGTTTGTAAAATCGGTCCCTTGGTATCCCAGAATGAGCTAGTCTTAGTGTCCAGAAGGACCACAGTTACCTAAAGAACCACTATGGTGTATACTTTTTAAAAAGCCACACAGATAGATATGAATTTTATGAATGAAGAACTGTACCACCCACTCCACTTGAAAGTGGCACAGTCAGGACTTCTCCAGTTAATGGCTCTGGGTTTGTACAGCTCTCAGATACAACTTAGTTAAACCCATTCTGTGCATGGGACACAATACTTTGGCTCAAGTATGAGGGTAGGTTTTTAAATGAAAATATACACTTTTAAGAAAATTACTTTGAGGGCCGCGGTGCGTTGGTTAAGAGTTGGCTTGGGACGCCCGCTCTGAGCAGCAGGGTCCCGGTTCGGATCCCACATGAGGGACAGTGATGCTGCGCCCTCTACAGCTAAGATGGTGAACAGCAGCTTGACCTGGAACTGGGCTGCGGTGAGTTGCTGTCGCTGGTGTACGCTGCAATGAAGCTGCAGTGGGCTGCCGTTAAAGCTACCGTGAGTGGCTGGCAGCTGGCGTATGCTACCGTGAGCCGCCGTGAACCGCTGTCCAGTGGCCGGCCACCCATCTGCCTCACCCAGGAAGAGCACAATGATAATATACCAACATGGGCCAGTGAAGCCACGTCCTGCACAACTAGACTGAAGAACAAAAGGACAGCAACTTGTATGTTCCCCTTCCCTGATTCCCCAATGCTGTTCCCCTCCTCCAATTCGCCAAAAAAAATCTTTAAAAAAATATATATATATATATTTTGTACCTATAGAATATTTTATTTCCAGGAAAGCTGCCCCTGCAAGTTGGCGCAGAATAAATTAGTTGTGGGGTACATTTCCAAATAATGATAAACTGTTGAATGTTATTGTTTAGCCTCATCCTTTTGGATACCAAACTGTTTGCTGAAAATGTTTGAATCACTTAAAATCGACTAGATTTAGGTATTTCTTGAGCCTACTTCCAGAAAGTGATGGTGATCATAGGATTCTCATCAACATATGATGATACTTTTATTTATTCTGAAGTGGGCATTTATTCCAAAAGTTGTAACACTTTACTTAGTTCTGTCAGAAGATTGTGCCCACCCTATTTTAATTCTATAGTGGTTTTGAAGTAAAGCTTCTGAAGGAACACTAAAAATGTGCGTTTATGTTGAAATTGTACATTTAACCTATCAAAAGGTGACATCAAAAGGAAAATAAACAGGAATTGAGAAGTGCTGTGTGCTAGTAGGGATGGACAGGGCATTTCATCGTTCTCTTCTTTAAAACCCTAATATCTCTACAGGTGTAGGAAATGAGACTGAGCAAATAGGCCCTTGGCTTAGTCACACAATATTTGAGTGGCTGTTGGAATGTGACCCACATCTTTCTATTCTGCATATAACTTTTAGTGAGCCTTGATGATCCATGGAACTGGAACTGTTTTGTCCATAAAGGGGGTAAAGGTGGGGTTGAGAGGTTGCCCATTTTGGAGTTCACTTCCGTTAGGCTTTTAGGCCCATCCTTTAGAAATCATACCCCAGGATTTCATTAAGTTAAACATTCTGCACCAATTAATTAAGGCCCAGTGCTTCACAGAATTTTAAAATACTGGTGGTGAGAGGTCTAACACAGGGCCTGCATTTAACACTTCTGAGTTATCCGAATTTAACCTTGGAGAATTTGGGAGATCTGCAGCATCACAGGACTATATAGTTGAGCATAAAATCTCATTTGCTTTCATATTAAAACTCCCTTTATTTTGTATGTTTATGTTTTCGTAAGCACAGACCCTCCCACTGGAAGACATCAATATATAACTTCATAGGATTTTTAAGTTGAGTGAAGTGTGAGTTTTACTTAAAGTGCTGTTTTAATAATTTTCATAGAATTTTCATAGCTTCTGGTATTTCTCAAACTAGATGGCAGAGGATGATGATAATTATATTTTTACATGTGTTAATTTATTTAATACTCATAATAATCTCTGTAAAGTTAAATGATTTATCCAGGGTCATAGGATTAGTACATAACATAATCAGAATTGGAATGCCTCCGTATTTTTAAAATTAACTCCCATGCAAGACTAGTCTACTTGTTTATCCAGACCTGGACATTCAGGGCAGATTTCAGTCTTATTTATGATCTATTTGTATAAGGTAATTTTCTCCTAACAGGTAGCAGTGGAAGGTATTAAGTAACTCAGATAATAAAAATGCCTGGCCCACAGGAGGACATTTGAACAAACAAATTGTTTATGAGAGGCCGTCATTCCATCCCAGCCTCTATAACTTCCTCATTTTGTAATTACACACACACACACACACACACACACACACACACACAGAGTCAGTAACTCCTATTGTTGGAGTTAGAATGAGGACAAAACTAAGTAAGAAGTAACCCATCTAAGATGGTCATCTCACAGGGGTGATAAGCAGAAAAGTAATGATTAAATAGTAATATTGATGTCTGATTTTAAATTAAACTGAAATTCTCCTTTGATTTTCCCTCCAAGGCTGATATTTAAATATATGAATTTAGTTATGAGTGGATTGACCAACTTTCCCACTTTATTCAAGATGGTTTCAGGTTCCCAGAGTTTTCTCAGAACACCTGACAGATCATTTGTAGCTGTTAGTAGTGGATGTGTACCTCTTAATTGGCACGTAGAGGCTCTTATTTTAGAAGTATACTGTTTAGCTTGGAGTTATTTGGGGATTTTCTGGGTATCATTTTGTTACTGATTTCAAATTTAATGCCATGTGGCCAGAGGATATACATGAGTGTCTTGAGCCCTTTATAATATAGTCACACTTGTTTTGTGGCCCAGAATGTGGGCTGTCTTAGAAGTGTTCCATGTGCATTGGAAAAAAATATGTTTTGGGTCCCGCAGTATATTTTGCTGCCTGTTGTTGGCTATTATGTCATACTGTTCCATGAATGTCAGTTAAGGCAAGTTGGTTGGTAGTGTTGTTCAAGTCTTCTGTGCTCTTGCTGATTTTCTATTCTCTCAATTAATTATTGATAGTGGTCTGACTGTAATTGTGGATTTGCCCATTTCTCCTGGTAGTTCTGTCAGTTTTTGCTTCATGTGTTTTGCAGATTTGTAATTAGATACATAAAATATATAGGATTGTTGTGTCCTCTTGATGAATTGACCCTTTATCATTATGAAATGACTTTCTTATCCCTGGTGATATTGTTTGCTTTGAAATCTACTTTGGCAAATATTAACATGTCCACTAATCTTTCTTTTGATTAGTGTTAGCATGATATGTCTTTTTTTTGTCCATTTGCTTTAACCTGTTTATGTTTTTATATTTAAAATGCATTTCTTTAAACAGCATATGGTTATGTCTTGTTTTTGTAACCCAATCTGAAAATCTGCCTGTTTTTTTTTTATTGAGATATAATTGACATACAACATAATATTAGTTTAAGGTGTACAACATAATGATTCAGTATATACTGAAAAATGATCACCACAGCAAGTCTAGTTAACATCACCAAACAGCTGCAAATGTTTTTCCTTGTGATGAGAACTTTTAAGATTTACTCTCTTACCAGCTTTCAAATACAGTAGAACCTTGGATTGTGAGTAACTTGGTTTGCGATTATTCTGCAAGACGAGCAAACATTTCTATTAGGTTGGTGCAAAAGTAATAGCAAAAGTAATTACGAGTAATGGCAGAAACCGCTATTACTTTTGCAACAACCTAATAATGCATTTTAACTTGGTAAATGAGTGATGTCTTGCAATATGAGTAGTTTGTTTCCGGAACAAATTATGCTCACAAACCAAGGTATTACTGTATACAGTACAGCAGTATTAATGAGAGTCACCATGCTGTACAACCTCTGCCTTTTTAATGGGGGTATTTTGACCACTTGCATTTAATGTGATTATCGATATGGTTAAGTTTAAATTTGCTGTTTTTTAATCTGTACTTTGTTTCCTTTTCCTCTTTCTGCCTTCTTTTGAATTAATCAATTTTTAAACGATTTAAAAATTTTGAATTATTTTTATGACTATTTTCTCTATGTTGGCTTATTAGCAGTAACTGTCATTGGCATGATTGCCTTAGGATAGCACGCATCTTTAACTTAACTACCTTCAAGTGATATGCCACTTCACATATAGTATCTTATAAAAGCTTTCTTTCATTTCTTCCCTCCCAACCTTTATGCTGTTGTCATCTGCATCTTATATATATTTTTTTATAACTA